CTTTATCCTGTTGTTCCATCATGTGTCCTTTAATTAGTTCCTCCGTTTTTTCATCTAGTCAGTAATTCCTTTTTAAGTCCAGGTGTCTTCTTTCCAGTTCGTTTTCCACTTGCTTCTGTTTGGTTGCGACATTTCTTATCCTTTCTTTGAGTAGTGCTTTCTGTGCTCTTTCCATTATGTTCTGGGCTGTCTTGGTCCAGATCAGTGTTTTCAGCTGTAGGCTTGTTGGCGTGATGTTTTCGTCTCGGCGTCTTAAATTGAAGCGAAGGTGGTTCCTTAGACGTGCGCGTTTTTTATGTAAACGTTCCAAACGGCGGAAGTCCTTTGTTCCTTGTTGTCCGTATTTTTCTTTAAACGTCTTTAAACGGAGTAAGAAGTGACGCCACCATCAGCGTCAGCTCTGAGGATGTTTTGCAGTCGGCAAACGAAACTGTCAGCAAGGTCAAGAGAAACCTTTCTTGTGTTTTTCTTGTGTTTAAAAAAAAAACAAAAATGGAATTTAATTTCCCAGTTTTTTTAACAAGATAAGTAAAAAATAAAAAAATTATGTAAAACATCCTCACATGAAATATAAATTTCTAGGTTACTTGTTTTTTTTTCTTAACTAAATAAACACTGGCATAATAGGGACTCAAAAAAGTTCTAACTTATAAATCAAATGACCCAGCTCGGCCGTGAGTTGTGTGCAGTTACTTCAATTAGCATTTGGGGTTACAATTTTTTAATTCAGTGTTTGTTTCACTGATGGAAGCAGTAAAAACCCCGGGCTTCATGAAGACCAGGGATGTTTTTTGTTGTTAAAGTGAACACCAGTCAGTTTGGGCTGAAATAGTCTCGTTTAAATCATAAATTACTGTGTTCATGAACTCTGTCTCTTCATTTAATGGAATGTTTTCTTGCCTCTTTCTGACTGTAAAACATCAGTGTGGGACCTGAAGTTTTACTTCAGTAAAGGCCTGTTTTCAATATGGAGACTTTCAGTTGTTTCCTCGCAGATCTCATGTGCAATCCTTGGTTTTCATTTAGTCCTGGTTAAGATTTTCTGAAGCTGCCATAACATCACATTTTCTCTCTGGTCCTCCAGAGATGTTGTTTATTGTTGTTGTGGTTTAAACCTTGTTGGATGTTGTACCTAAAATGTTCCTGAAAGTGCTCTTTCAGGGTGGCTAGCTCTTTCTAAAGCTGCTTATTAAGAATTTTCTGATCCAGCAGAAGTTTTGTTATTGTCTCTTTCCTCCACACATCTTTAAATGGGATTTCCAGTTTCCAATTGGTATTAACTAATAAAAAATAAAATAAACTGCAGCTTTGAATTTTAAACATTAAAGTGTGAAGCAGGACGATCAGGACCCAGGGATGGAGCCAGCTCTCATTAAAACCTGCAGATAGAACCTAAAGCAGCACAAAGAGGCCAATATCCAGATGTTTTCACAGAAAATCGCCTCAAATGATCTAAATATTACCATCTGATCACTGAATCTGCCCCAGCTAAGTTTTTTAGTGTTTTTCTGTTGATTTTATTTGGCTGCAATAAAAGAGGAAAGTGGTGAGATTTGGCTAAATGGGCCGTGAGAGTGGGAGGAGACTGAGGCAGATGTGATGAGGGAGAAACTGAGAGGTTGAAGCGGTCTCACTGCCCCCTCAGTGCTCCCGTCCATTTGTTCTTCCGGCAGGAAGTGTTTTAGGATCAATAAGAGGCGAGGTTCTGCGGGGAGAGACAAAGAGAGACCAGAACTTGTTCTGTTTCATTAAGCTGCCCCTCGCTCGCTTTACACTTTAATTTGTGATTAGAGGAGAATTTCCTCATGCTCATCAACAAAATCCTCACCGCTAAAAAAAACAACCACGAGCCACAAATAACTTTTCAATCTCCAACTGGCTGAATTTGACTAAAAGAAAAGCACAGCTAAAAACTAAATAAAAGTCAAATTCTGAACAAAACAATTACTTTACACTTATATTATATCATATATGTATATATATATATATATATATATATATACATATATATATATATATATATATATATATATATATATATATATATATATATATATATATAAAATTTTTAAACATTAAATATAATCCATTATTGCATCAAATCAATAAAAAATGCTAAAATGAAACATTTTCAATGCATAATTCCTGATGTGGACATGTGGATTAAATAACCCACTATCATAGAGATCTGTAAGAAGAGCAGGCTTTTGAATATTTGTTTCATTTGAATGAAACAGAAATTATATATAGGTTTTATATCCAGAAGTGCTGGATCTGTTTCCTAAAGGGGCTGTGTTCAAAAATGTTCCTTTAAAATAAAAGATTTGAGCATATTTTGATGCAGGTTAAACAATATAATTTAACTTTCATTTGAGCATATTTGCTGCTAAACATCAAGACTTTCAGCTGCTCAGAAAACAAGTTTGTAAACTCAAATAACAGACTGGCTTGTCTAAGAGGAAACACTAAATGCAGACTTTAAGGAGCAGTGACTTCCTCCCCCACCACCACCACCTGTCTGTAGCTCAGCCAGGATATTATTTTAGCCCTTAACCCACAGATTAAATCCTCTCAGATTATAATCAGGCTAAACTGACCCTGCCACTTACTGAGAGGTAAGCATCACCGAGCCACATGAAGAGTCACAATAAACCAAGGACTGGCTTGTGTTTACAGCAGCCTGAATCCATCATGTTCATCATGAGCGGCTGTGAAAGTAAACGTTGCAGACAGGATCTCAGATTCACGTCACCTTGAGTGGAATGATGAACATGTGAAAATGTTTCTGCATGACAGAGTCCGACCGACTTGGACAGAAATGTCATTTCATGTCCTGTCAGCATTTTCTACCGCTTAATGAATCACGTCCTCAAGATCAAATAGGAGGAAAAACTCAACTCGCTGTGCTTTTTAGTTTAGATTGTGTATAAATACATTTAGGATGAATGTTTGGGTCATTATGCTCACATCGTGAATGAAACTGTTGGTTCTGCTGTACTATTCTGTTTTTAGCTTGACCTCGTGAAGGTCGTCTCCTTGCCAGTCATAGTGCTGATTTGTGATTGAAAGGTGTGAAGTGTCAAATCAGTGTGCACAAACGCATGACTGTTGATCTGACCCTCCTTCCAAAATCTCAGAGTGAGTGAGTGAGTGAGTGTGTGTGTGTGTGTGTGTGTGTGAAAATAATGTGATCAGAGCAGTCCATCACTGCTGTCTGTTTGTTTGTGTATCTTAACCAGCTGGTCAGTGCATCTGTCGCTGGACTCTGATAGTTATGTTGGTTTCTGGTTAAATATTTATTATCTATTCTCTCTTCAAAAAATAGATCAATTCCTTTTTTTGAACACATATTTACCGACAAGGGTCAGTTTGTAAAAGGCTCAGTGTTAAAGAGATCAGTGAACACACACACACACACACACACACACACACACACACACACACACACACACACACACACACACACACACACACACACACACACACACAAACACACACACACACACACACACACACACATACACACACACACACACACACACACACACACACACACACACACACACACACACACACACACACACACACACACACACACACACACACACAGGAAGCTGTGGTCATTTGACCAACGACACAGAACACAACAGGGTTTCATTATGACCTTCAAAATAAAAGACCCCAGCAAACACAACAATAAAAGATGTCATAAACAAAACCAGTTTATTAACAGACTTTTTGACAAGAAAAACTTTCGCTATCAGTTTATTTTCTGTTCTCCACATCCACTTAGTGGACTGATTTTCTCTCTTAAAAAACTTTTATGGTTTATGAATATGTTCTTATGTCAATTTCAGATCTATAGGTTTATTTATTGTTTCTTTCAAAAATATTTAGCTTTCATGATTATTGTTTAATTGCATGATTCTGCATTTAAAATTACAGTTTTTGTATCACTAACAAGCGCTTACCCATACTTCTGATGCTTTAAAAACACTTAACACAGACACACACCTGCAAAACACAATTGGCCATGGACAGGCCTTGGACATGCATTCAATATGCACCAGGTTTTTAATTATGGCAATTCGTTGCATTACAAAAACTACGTAGACTTTGTTTCAGTTTTACAGGTATGCAAAACAGTTCTATAGCCACCCTATGTATGTAAATGCTAATGATTTGTCTAGATTTCCAGTCTATCCTTTTCACACAGTTTTTATGTTTATAGTTGGGAATTGTATGTCCACATCCAATCTTCACATTCTGAATCTTTACTGTATTCAAGTTTAACTTACAGTGAATGAAACATACAAGAGCAAACAGCCTGAGCGAACAAACAAATAACAAAAACAAAAAGTTCAGACAAAAGGGAAAAATAAAGAAAATAAAGATCTTCGGGGTTAGTTCACATGTTTTTGTCAACATTGCACCTGATGTCATCCAAGGCACACACCTTCAGCTCCTGCCTTTGAAATCCAGTCTGGAATCAGCATGGATGACCCTATTTACACTTCATCTGTGTGTCATTTGTTTGTATAATTGCTTTTTATTTATTAGCTCATTTTAAACTGATATTATTGCAGAAGTAGAGATTTTATACTGCAGCTGAGGTTATGAATTTGGTTGTTTTTCTTGTAAGTTGTGTTAACATTTAGACAAAAACAATCCATCATTTTGGCGGTGAGTATAGTATCGCCACTAAGTTTCACTCATATCAAATAAATATTGTGCACACCAAGGATCTTCAGACCTTGATACTGTTCCAATTAAACGTTATTTATAATATTTAATTTAACTTTCTTTTCAGGACACAGAAATAAATGCACTTAGGGAGCAAAACTACATCAGTCTATCTGGAAACATTAATAGTTTTCAAATAGGACCTGATACATGTTCTCACACTTTTGCACAAACACATTTAATATAAATACTTGTAGCATACGGATAGATTCGATACCTTGAGCTTTATTTTGAAGGACCACACCGGAAGTTTTTTTTAATTCATTCTCGGCCATTTATAGAAGTCCGAGGTGGGCTCAGTGTTAAGCAGCAGCAGCCGCAGCTCATATTGCGTCGATAGGAGATGGAGGCAGACCTGACCCCCCTCTGAGCTCCGAACACCAGGACACAGACCACCAGATGAGCCCGGGGATGACATCCCGACCATGACTGATTGCTGATTCTGAGCATCTTTCTTCACGGAATAGAACCGGGATCGTCTCAGCGACCCAATGAATCCAGCGCTGTTCAGTTGAGGTGAGTCCTGCCTTTTTGTGCGTGTGTGTGAGTGTGTTTTCCTTTCATTCAGCGCGCCCGGATCCTGGTCAGGTTTTTTAATTTATTTATTTATTATCTGGGTTTATTCTTCCCACTGATGTCGTGAAGAGAAGAAAACCAAAACAACCCTCCAGCTGGTCCAGGTGTTAGACCCGGACCTGGACCATCCATCCCAGCAGCCAGACCCGGAGAGTCTGGCTGCTGATGGATGAGAGCAAGTGCAGAGGTTTGATGAACGCATCAGCACGACCAGCCCGGTTCTGGAGAGGAGGGGTCGCGGCGAAGGAGAAGGAGGGCGGGGGTTGTCCTCCGATAATCCGGTTGCTAGACCTGGGATCAGTCAGGACCGATCCGAGCTCTGATGGGTCCATTCACTGACAGCTTTGTGTCAGCCATTCAGCAGGAGGCTGCTGCAGACTCCCATTCATGAAGTCCTCCATGCTGGCTCAGCGGGCCTGCAGCAGGCCTGCAACAGGCCCACTATTGACTTCCTCTCATGTGCCTGTTGATGGGCTTCAAGCCTAATAAGTCTGATCTGAACCTGAATCAGACTTGGAGGCTTTTAACTTAAACACTCTAATAATGGAGCCATGCCTGTCTGTCTGCAACAAAGATGATCTCCAATACATTCATTTCTTCTGATTATCATGCAACATTTCTGCAAACTTGCATGAATAATTCATTAAAACTGAAGCTTCAGACTTAATCCTGATGATTTCAGCAGGTCAGCATTGAGTTTAGAGGACAAAAAGGCATAAAATGCATGTCTCTCTAAATAGATGTAATTGCTGAGAATAACAATGGTTCTAGTCAAACCTATAAACGTTAGAATGAAGGTTTCCTGTTTACAGCTGCAGGGTGTCGCAGTGGTTCTCTGTCGCTTGCAGGATGAGCTTTAAGTCTCAACAGGGACCTCACTCCTTCTGGTTTCCTCCCACAGTGCAACAATACCCCCCTAATATCTCTTTAAGTTTAGATTTCAAATCTATACCGAGCTAAAATTTTACAGTAAATTCAGAAAATTTAAGAGGCTCAAAAAGTTAAGATTTATGTAGGTATTCATAAAATTGGTTGATATTTTTTGTAAACTGGACTCATTTGTGTCAAGTGATGGAGATGAGCTGCACCCAGAAAAATCAGTTCCTGATGGGAGTTGATCAGTAGGCAGCGTAATTGGTTAATCAGGCCAATCTATAACTCAAAAATCAGATGCTGTCTTGGTCAGTGAATGTACCATTGTTTAGCTCAATAAAACGAGTTAAGAACTGGAATGAAGAATGACTTTAAATGTGTAATTTACTTAGAATAAACCTTTTATTGTTTGTTTCACCTATTAAGACCAAGCAAACAGGTGCTTTTAGATATTCTGAGAAAATTATAATTGTTTAGGGTGTTTTTATTTCTAGAGTTCACCTTTTTATATGCATTTGATGCATACACTTCCTGTTTTTTCCCCAAAATATGTTATTCACATATAAGAACAAAACTTTAATTGACTTTGGCCCTATTTTCAAACCAGCCAGTATGTAAATGGGCTGTGACTGGTGGTGACTTGTTAGAGACGCACGAAGCACAAGAAAACATGGAACTTGTAGTTACTAGATCATGGAAGGAACATGTTGTCATTGCAAAACACCTGAAACATCTGCACGCTTTATGCAAACTTTTCATCACAATTTAGTCAATAAGAGTTTGTTTATTTACCATTTGGCTGATGTTATGGAAACCAAATGAGGTTGCATCCCAGTAGATTTGTCTCAAAATTCATTTCAATTCAAAAATACTTTATTAATCCCAGAAGGAAATTAGAGTTTCAGTACACACAATTCTGAGATCAGACATACATACATACATAGACACATGACAAGAATTGGTGACTGTGGTCATTTGTAACCCGAGTCGCGCTACTTTAATAGAGATCAGAGGGTTTATATGAGGATTGGGTCGGGTGGAAGAAAAAAAAAGACATTTCAGAGTTACCCTCCACAGGGAGGGCAGCTTTGCTATGCAAAAAACACCTCAGACAGAAATGCAACAGACTTCAGACATTACACAACGTAAGTGTCCACTAGGTGGGGAGGTAGGGTAGAGGACTCTCCAAACATCAGTGCATGCAGCCACGATAAGCAGAGCCCGCCTCCTCCGTCTGGAGGGGGAGGGTCATTGGATTTAGAGAGCACCATGACTCCTGGAACGATTCAGCGACCTTCACCAGTTGCAGTCCCGCCCAGGCTGGGATAGGGAGACAGAGTTGCCATGGCGACGGCAGCATTCCACATTTCTTCTGAGGGGGAGTTATCGCTTCACCCCGGCTTTCCACAGGAGTCGTCAGCAGCACGTTACTGCAGCAGCACGTCATAGCTGCTGATAGGAACCGCTGTGGTCAGCAGAACCTTTTCCACCGGAGCCGTCAGCAGCGCGAGTCGGCCGCGTCTCAGGAGCAGCATGTCACGGCCTTTACGCGCCGGTTCTATTTTCTACGCGCAACGCCTCTGAAACAGGTCAAGTTCGACATTTTTGGGGAAGGAAAGACAGTAAATCAGACGCGGAAATGGAGAGAAGCTCCCAAGATTTTCAGAATAAAGAACGTACTGCCTTCCGGTTGCTTTACTTTAAAAAAGGTTACTAACTGTGCGTCCCTGTGAGAAGTTATCACCTAGCTAGCGGTCTCCTTTGTTTTTCAGGTCCGTATTGGCGATTATAAAACGGACAGAACATAAAACACAAACATTTTGGAGCCATGTTGTAGTTTTCTCCTGCTTGTTGTTGTGTTTACTGACGAAGTCACTCGTGTGACTTCGTGCTCGGTCGGTGACAGCTGCTCCCCTGCTGCTTCGCTTCTCGTGGGAAGGGCCAAGCAGCAGTTTACGCGAGCAAGACGTGCTGCTGCAGTAACGTGCTGCTGACGGCTCCTGTGGAAACCCGGGGTTAGCCTCACAGGCTCAAGGGCACCAGATTCAGATAAGAACTTGTTTTGGGGCCAGACAGAGATAATTTCCTCTCTGTCTTAAAGTTCCGTTGGTCCTCAACCACTCTAAATCCAATAATGGCGTAGTTAATCAATCCCAATCCGTGCTGATCCGTCAACTCTATCCTTGATCGAATCCACCTTCTGTGCCAGAATCTGAATCTCAGCCAAAGTTCCAAGCTCACGACTCATCTCGACAATTATATGAGCATTCACAGCACGGTGTAATCCATCCCTGAGCTCCTGTTTAGGAATCAGCTGGAACTTTAACTGATGGTGCTGAGGTGTAAAGGAAGAGTAGTTGTGAATGTTTCATTTTAGCTATTTTTTCTCAGTTAAAACCTTTAAATGTATTTTTTTTTATCTTTGATGCATTTATGGTTGCAGCTTCAGCCAGTGAAGCTGAAAATCGGCCGATTCCAGACATCTGTCTTTCACTCAGTGCATTTCTGCATTCTAGTTTTTAAATCAAAATTTTCATGCTTTGCTGCTTGTTGTTGTTTCAACAATCTGCAATTATCTTTATTTACAAGCTTCACACTAAGGTAGAGGCTATGAGGTGCTGGTATGAGAGGTTTTTATGGCTGCGATGCAAAGGAGTAGGGAGTCCAGGGTTGTTTCCAGACAATTCAATACCAGTGTACATTGTGTAAGTTTAGGCAGAATTTAACTCTGCATGCACAAAATATACTAAATAAAGACAATAAAAATGTCAAAAATGTAATTAATTGATCTAATTTGATGCATCTACTTAAGATTTCATGGTTTGATCTTGTACATATAGTGAATATTTTGGCTGGAATCCAAACGTGACATTGTGAGAATTTTCATGACTCAAATCAAACAGAATCAGGGTTTGAGGTTCACCAGAATTGTCTGTGCATTGTTTTGTTGCACACACCTGATGTTTTAGTGACAAATGCAGAGCTGGCTACCAGAAATATAAAAGTGTTCTGTGTTAGAAATAAAAATACAACACATATTAGCTACAATAATCAGACTGTTTTCTACATCATCTAAAGCGAAAACCCATCCATTCCTGCAACCGACACTCACACAGGTTGTTGAATATATTTGTGCACGTCTCCGTGAGAGGCTCGTGGTCATCTGTGGAATTAGTTAGACCAAGTGGGTGAGAGACAGGAAATAGAAGTCAGTGGTGCAATGTGCATCTCCCACGCACTCTGTCCTTTATCGCTGGCCGCCATATGGATGCCTGAGCTCACTCGGCTCAACGTTTACATTGTGAACACTCGCCAGGGGAAGCGTGAGAAGGAGAAACGGAAAGAACAGCCTATCTTTAGAGGACACGCTAATGAATGTGTTTAATATCTGTGTGATGAGGCTCTGCTGCCTGAATCCTCCTGCAGGTGAATCCACCAGGTGATTGGATAATGAGAAAGTCTCAGTCATGTCTGGAATTCTTATCTGTTGGCTTCCTTATTTTGTGCAAACATGCTAATCTCTGATCCGACCTGCTCCGAGTCTGCGTCTTATCAGTGTCTGAATCAGGAGTGTGTTGTCTTCATAATGTCAGCCTTTGTGCCAACACTCCTCTCCTCTCCTCTCCTCTCCTCTCCTCTCCTCTCCTCTCCTCTCCTCTCCTCATGTTGGAGCTGATAGAGGAAGCATTCAGGCTCATTAAAGACGTTATCAGAGCTCAGGTCAAAGGTCACTGACTGGCTCCTCTGAAGTCAACAGATCTGAAAGTAGATGTGAAGGTGGGAGTCTATCACTACTGACCCCTCTTCTGCTCTTTCTCTTACTCCCTCCATCTCCGACCTCTACAGTACCTCCTGGGATTTTTATCTGCTGTCACCATCTCATTTGTTTTTCATTCCTCTTTTTGTTTGAAATTCCCTCTTTTTTTACTCTTTTCCTCCATACTAGATGTCTCATTGGGGATTTTCTTACCAAATTTTTTGCAGAATAATTCTGCATGCAATCAGGAAAACTGGTAATATGGTCCAAGCAAGCTGTACTTTCTTTTGTCTAGGTTAGTCTAAAAACA